TTGCTCCGATAGCCCTGAACACTACCTTGGACCGAAAGCATAGTTCACTTTTATATTGTATGACACCTTCAAACTTGCCAATGTCAACGGAGGGACACATACAATAGTCTGACAAAGTATTTTCATTTTAGCAGCCAACAATACTCTCCAAAAAAAACACCTTGGATGCCTAGTGTTCATAATTGTAAAGCAAAGATCTTAGACTTCGAAAAAGTTGGAGTGGAATGTCTAAATTCTTTAGCGGTATAGATTTCACAGAGCACAGCTCAACTGAACACAGTCACTCACAAAACTCCTTTGTCATTTATTTTCAAAGAGCATAAATCTGACAAGTGTTTGCACTTGGCACACATTTCATGATAAAATCCCTTCTGTTGTGATGTAAATTAATAACTCTGCTGTTGAGTGTGTTCAGCAGAAATTAATTCCTGTGTGTTTGTGTTCCACTGATGCTTTCTGTGTGTTTAACGGAGTTGCAATGCAGCTGTTTTAAATACACACCGTTTGCAAGAGTGATTCCCACTGTCTCCAATCAGCCAGCAGAAATAAATCAGGGCTTGTTGGGTGCTTGCTGAGGCACTCACTGTGCCAGTTATTCTGATTCTCAATACACCCGGCTTACAAGCTGCAACAGATATTCTAATTGAAATGCATTATCCTATGGATAAAGAGACTTTAGATTGTTCTGACATCTTTGTTTGGCTGGACAGGCCCTCTGTGTTGAGATTTTGAGAAATCCTCACACTCTCATGGTTTATGAATAGAGAAAAATAAAATTCACAGCAGTCAGACTTAAAATTAATAGCTATACAGTTTTTTTTTAAAAGGGGGCCAAATGTGCCTTTTTGGCTAAAATCCCAAAATTCCCTCCAGAGGGAGTTTCTCTCCCACATACTTCCCCCCCTGCCTGAAAAGCTTCCATTGTACTTCTTTGTTTACTTTCGTAACATAGTGACATCACTATGAAACACATCCCTAAGCAGTTGACCAATCGACCAGCTAACCAGTCAGAGCAGACTGGGCTCTGGTTTCAGACAGAGGGTGAAAAGAGGTGCTGCAGCACAGGCAGTATGAGGAAAATAAAGAGCTTTTTGAACATTAAAGCATGGAGACATAGTTGAGGCGCAAAATAAAATTATTAAAGGAAAATTAGCATAATAGGGCCCCTTTAAATGTTCATATTGTACGTCCTCCTTTCAATATCAGTCTTTTCACACTATCAAAGCACCTTGTGTGCTTTTAGATACGAGATACGATCAGTCACTAGTTATTGCTTTATTTCACACAAAGGCAATAACACATCAGCATGGTGTTTCAGGTGTTATTAGCCATGCCAGTCTCCGTTCCCTCATAGGATATTTTCTTTATCCTTTGTTTGTCCTTAAGCCAAAGCCCAAAATATGTCAGTTTGTAAAGTGAAGCCGATGCAGAAAATGCCTTAAACATGCTTTTTTCAAATATCCAGAGTGTTTGCGTCAACACTGGTCACAAAAAGAAGGGTGGTTGGTTGTATAGAAGTCAAGAAGAACATGTTCTTACCTTATTAAAGTCTAATTGACAATAAGAAAGAGATCTGACATAAATGTGTATTCAATATAAATATATAATAAATGATGGTCCTGTTTAATAATAAATAAACAATTGAGCTTTAGTTGTGCCAGGGTGTGCATCATTGTGTTTCACAGGTTACTTACATGGTGGTGTCCAGTCTACAGTACGTGTTGTCCGTGTTTTCTTCTTACAACGTTAACCCTTTAACATTGGTTTCAGTTCAAGAAAGTTCATTTTGGTCAGGGATACTTCTTAATATTATTTTACAGCAGACTGGCCAGAGTTTGGACAGTCTCCAGGAGTCCACAGTGTTCACAATTGCCATATTTGTGTTTTCTCAAAATCATGAGCCCGATTGCTAGCCCACAATGTCGCAGCTTTGTCAATTTGACGTCATCCTTTCAAGGCAGGTTCACTCTGCTGCCTGGTTTAACTGACAGTTTCGGTGAGGGAGGTCCAGTGGTTCCTAAGCTAAAGGAGGTTATAAAGGAAGTTTGAAACCTCCTTTCCTATCACCTAGACTAGAGAATTCGAACGGCACTTATCATGGCTGCCACTGAGGGACTTCCAGGTAATTTCACTCCGTTAGGAAGGTTCCTAAGCTAAATGGACTATTCGACTTCAGCCGCTGTTTGAGGGCTTGATAACCCACTCCCAGCGCCGTATAGATAGAAGAGTTGCGACAGCGGAAATCCAAAATGCTTGATCGTCACGTGGTTCAGAGAGACTCAGAAAGTTCCCGGAAGTTCGTGGCGGGCCATTTGAATGCATTAATAACAGGAGATAGAACTGCGATTTTTGGTAATTAGTGGTCAATAAAGGTTTTGATTTGCAATATTTATACAACATATCGATATGTGTATGTAGTTAAATCAATGTTTAAAAAAGAAAAGTAAAATTCGCTAATATTTGAGGATTAAGATAAGATAAGAAGTACTTTATTGATACCAATTGGGGAAATGTTTGCATTTCAGCAGCAAAAGACAAGGCATTGTACATTAGACAGTTAAAAGACTAGAATTAAACAATCGAAAATGTAAACATCGTTTATAGTGTGAACAGCTATCTTACCTGCCTTGTTAATATATGTTAGGCTAACGTCGCCTTGGTTAAAGAGCCTGTTGCTGTTGTTTATTGCTTTGAATTCTTTAAAACAAATATTATCTTCTTAAACTTGTATGGTAGTCAGAAGCATCACATCCTAATGTTTATTGATATATTTAGAGGGAGGGGATGGGAAGGAAGGTTTCAAAATTCTAATTAGATTAATTTCTACCATTTCTTTAATTCATGGTGGTTTCAGTAATCCCATGGTAATGGAGGACATATATAATCTAAATGACTAATGTAATCTTTATGACTTTCAGAAAGGACAGGAGACCGACAGGTGCCTATCAAAGTGTCAGGTTTGGGGAAATAGGACCCAAGTGCAGTTCAAAAATACAAAAAGGTTGTTAACAAAAAGTGGCTTTATTAACAAAAGCTGAAGGCATAAAAAACAAGAAACTAATAAACAGAAACAAAACGGGGAACACGACAGACAGGAACAAACTTACAGACGGGAACAGGCAGGAGACATGGACAAGCATAGACGACAGGTAGCAGGGACATGAAATGACGACGAACAGACCTGGAGCACAGGGGAAGACAAGACTAAATACACAGAAGGGTAATCACAGGACAAGACACAGCTGGACAGGGTAGGCAGAAACACAAGGGCAACAGGTGAACACAATGAGGCACAATCAGACACACCAGGGAAACTAACGACGGGAACAAAACACACGGAGTAGGATCAGACAAGACACAAAGAGGAAAACATTTCAAAACAAAACAGGAAACCAGAGACAGAAAAAGACAAGACAAAACACAACACAGACAGATCGTGACACAAAGGACTAGCAGCAGCAGCATGATGATGTTAAATGTGTTGTTTTAGGAACATCCAGTGGCGTTTTTATATGTACAAAAGTGGTGGGGCACAAAAAACTTAGATGTCTATATATAAGCTTCTGCAGTGACGTGCAGTGAGGTTCATGGCTGGTGAGGCACTGGCACTGACTCTTCAGGTTTACAAATATTATATTTTGACCTAAACCAAAATATAATATTATTTTCAAAAGCTTTTTTTTTTCTGATGCTTCGATTAATTTTAAACAGACAGTTCAACAAAAGGATACCCAAAAAATGTAATTTTATCATTTAAATATTGAATTGTTCTCTCTTAGTAAGATCCCATTTTCAATAAAATTGCAGTCTTACCTTGACTTGAAGATGAAGTCCATTTGCCTATCCTTCTGGACAAAAATTTCTATAACTTTTTTGTAAAAGTCCTCCTTATCTTCTAGTAGTTTCAAAAGTCTATCAGAAATCTAATCGATAGATTTATGATAAAAAAATTATAAAAGTAGGGTAGACATGTGGATATTATCCGGCTGAACAAAACGTGCATTTATCTAACAGGTACGTTTCCCACAGATCTTATTTCGAGCTATTTTCTAAAATCCTATGGAGAAACCTCATTGCTTTTTTGTCGAGGGAAGCCACGTGCAGCTTACTTCCTGGTTTTAGGACGCGTCACTGCAGCTCTCTCGTCTCCTCTTCACACACCACACTTTTCGCGGCACACGTACTTACAGCCAATCAGCTCTGAATGATGTGAGATGACGTATGGTGGGGATGGCAGCTCCGTGCCCCTCTGGTCATTATTTTGTTGCCACACACATTAAATAGGAAAATACTCTGAGCATGCGCAGTGTAGTTTTTACAGTCACCGTTCACTTCACAGCGAGAGGGAGGGGCATGATCAGGTTTTGTCCCACATGGCTCTAAACAGCTCAATAGGCACACACTGTGACTGTAGACACACTAATTAGAAGAACACAGACTAAAACAGCAATGTACAGACGAATCAGATGATTAAACATGATCTTAAAATATATTTTATATATTTTTTTTTTTTTTTTTTGCATTTTTTGTAATCATTATTTGTAATACTTTCTGCTGACACTAGGTGGGGCTGTGCCCCACCTGCCCCTAATGACCAGTCGCCACTGGGAACATCCATTGTAAATAAATGGAATTCAATAAACATTGAATAGCATGTCATGCAGTTTATCTGTGCCTTTTCCTCCGTGATGTCCTGGCATATAGTCTCCCCCATGGTTTGCTGTGCTGCCGGGGAATGCTCCAATCGCTCAGAGAAAGGAGTACAAATGTAAAGTTTCCCCACTGACACAGAGAGGAGGAAAGAATGGCTGGCTCAAGTCAGCAGGAGCAATTTAACTATCACAAAAGACAACAACAGCAACAAAATATGTGAGGTAATCATATTTTTCACAAAACGAAGACCACACCATTGGGAAGCTTAATAATAAGGAACAGGGAGAGGCTTGCAAAACTCTGGGTGTTGAGACTCAGGCTCAGGGTGAGGGTCTCATTCCAGGTATTCAGGCTCCATTGAATCCCCCTGGGGTTCTTGTGCTGAAAGAGGGAGACAAAGACAGGAGAAAGGGTTAGATATCTATATAGCAACCTATAGGATGGGAAATTGCTGACCTATTTTAAACTTACCTTGTGTTTTCACTCTCACTTAAGTCCCTGTCCCTTTGCCATCAATCCAAAATCAGCTGAGCTGCAACATAATACAGACAGGTAATAATCAACATAATCACAAGGACATTATATGGCTCTGCTAAAAACACTCACTCATAAATTACGTTTTTGTTTACTGTTTAGAAGTCTCAAATATGCACTCTAAATCCATATCAATGGCGATGTATCACAAAAATAGCTCTCTTCCTTATTATTATGTAACGTTAACTATAATATACTAGCTTGAACTCCAAAATGGATATCCTCATTTCACCACCTCCACCCACTACAATCACACGCCCCAATGTTAACTCATATTTAACTCCCTCCACCCCGCATAAAATCACGTTTAGAAGCCCCTTTTCTCTAATTCCACAACGTTGGACGAAATGACATTAAGAGAACGGAATTTACAATTAAAAGGCTGATCATGGTTAACCAGGGTTGCCAACTTTGGGTACCTGGCTGGAGTGAGATTTTGATATCATGGGTTTAATTCGGTTTAATTACACATATGCGCACGAAATGACTGCTATCGTGTCAGCAGCGGGACCTTAGCATATAGGATATATATACAATATATACAAATACACAATAATGGACACAGACTATAAAGGGCACACAGTTTCATTCACTAATGAAAGTCAAACATGTTTGTTTCCACTGTTTTATTGTGTGCCTGTCGCGATAAGAAATTATTTGACTTATCGTACGATAAATAAAAATGAACTCGATAACTTTTCTGACCTTGATAAATTGCCATTTACATGAGGATGTGACTAGCAGTTTGAAAGGATGTACTTGAATTATTATTATATATTATCATTATGTCAGTGGTCTAAAATGGTCATACAACGGTGCCGACAATATTATCGTTTATCGCAATAATTTCCGGGAAAATGTATCCAACAAAATTCATTATCGTGAGAGGCCTATACATGAAACACACACACACAAACAAATCTACAGACTTACTCCAAACTGCCAAATATATTAATTAACACACTCTCACTCTCATATACTCTTTGACTCTATTTTGGCCTAGTAGAACAATAAGCAGCAGACTTTTACTTTTTTATCATTTCTACTGGATCTTAGATCTGCGCATGCGCAATACGGGTCGGCAGTGGCGGCTCCAGAGTATTTTTGTTGGGTAATCTATGGTAGGGCTAACCCATACAGTGGTGGGGCTCAAGTCAGTATTTGCAATGTAATTACATACACGCTCCCCCCAACAGTGAAACGCCACGCGTGAGGTTTAGATTATTTCCCTGTCTCAATCCAAATTGAACTGTATGAAATAAAAAGGCACATTTGTCTTGTAGTAAATAAAAAGGGCGACCTGGAGCCAATCCTGCAATTTCCCCACAGGTGAAAGAGTTGACATGCTGAAAACCCAACCCCTGCAGGGGGGTCTGGGGGGATTCTCCCCCAGGAGATTTTTTTAAATACTAACATAAAATACACATTCTGGTACTCTCTTGAGAAGAAAAATAAATAAATCTATTACTACACGACATATTTAAAAAAATGAATGCCATTTTAGTTTTGTGTGACTTTGTTCTGAAAGCTGAACCTGCTGCTCCTCACAGAGAGAAGAGGGAAGAGGCTGTGTGAATTACTTTACATTGTGGATAAGGGTGGATAGCCCCCATTGTTCTGTGTGTCAAAATGAAAGACAGCCCACACACCTATCAATCATCAAACCGTGGGGTCTTATTTCATTACGTGTTGATTTCTATCAACACGTAATGTTGTATCGATGTATATAGAGATGTACTACCGCAAAAGTATTCTCCGTCGGGACTTCCTGCAACAACACCACGCCGTTATCGTGATTCTGATTGGCCAGAAGACATTATCAAAGATGTTCTATTGAGAAGACGATCACTACGTGACAAAAGTTTTCAAAACCGTTTCTAGTCTTCGTATTCTTGTTTTTGGCGGGAGAATAGTTTTGGCAGCGTGAGAGCGTGAGATTGAGAGTGAAAGCGTGTGTCACACGCCAGATGCGTGAGAGTTGGCAACCCTGTAGTTAACGTGTGTTGCTAACTTTATCCGGTATCCTAGCCTAATCTGTTATCTGTAAACGGATAATCCACTAACATCCTTTAATACACATTTTAATTTGATTCAGATGTGCTGATAATATCCGCAATATAAATCTTTAAACGTCCTTCTTACCTTTAAAAGTCCATCACGAACGGTCTATTATGCTGCAACTCTACTGTGCTGCTAGCCTTGCCGCTAACTTCCGGGAACTATTGAGAGGCTCCACGATCCGCCATTGCTGTAAAAAAAATGGTCCATTGGAGTGAACGGAGATAACTCTTCTATTATAGGGCTCTGCCCATTCCCCCTCCACACTCGTTGGTTTGGAACAGCACTTAATGTGGCGGACCCTCCGTGCGAACGTGCAAACGGAGGGGTAGTGTGTAGTGGTAGGGTGTAGGGGTAGGGTGTAGGGGTAGGGTGTAGGGGTAGGGGTGTAGGGGGTGGTTTGGAATTGGGCCTCAGGCCCCCAGGAAGTGCGCCGGACTCAGAGGAAAACATTTGTTGTGTCCAAACCATAGACTGTATATATAAATGGACGTAGTGTCCGTGACGTCACCCATAGGATTCTGCAGAGTTGCCGAGAAGCCCTTAGTAGGCGGAGTCGGCCACTAACGTCACAACAGTGACGTCAGAATAAGGGCAAAGAGGCGGAGCCGAGGCGGGACCTGCTGCCACCGAGCTGGAAGTTCCAGAGCTAGCTCAGGCTAAGAAGCTAAACTAAAGGAAACCTTTATACAAAAATACATGAAAAGTTATATGTTAGGTGTGTAGGGTTACAAACTTAACAAGCAAAACATAGAACTTCAATTAGTGATGCAATGCTGACATGTAAAAAGCATAGGTGTTTTAATGCCATATTCACTTAATAACGCATGAACAACTTTTACAAATATTTCTATATAGTCTGTGTTGGTAAATGTCATCTACGTTGCACATTTCCTGCTGAAATACATACCAAGTTACTGCGTGGCACTTTGGTTTTGATAAAACAGTGTAGTTCCACTTCCACTATATACACGTTACATTCATAATCAAACGAGACAATCTGCAGGAGAATTAGCTATTTTTTGTTATTCTTAATGCTTGTCATTCACACGTTAATAAAATAAAATAAGTAGGCTACCGATACATGGCAGAACAATTGTGGCGATGTTCAGCTTAATAAGCCTTGTTCAACATAATTTCTTTAGCTAATAATACAGCGGGCTGCAGGCGAACCAAGTCTGCGTTTCGCTGCATTCCTAGATCTCCAGTTATAACGCAGCTGGGACGCCGCCGCCGGGACGCCGCCGCCGGGACGCCGGCCGGAGCTAACGGAGCCGCAGGGGGCTAGCTCCGGTCGGTGTCCCGGTGGCCGGAGCTCGCCCCTTGCGGCTCCGTTAGCTCCGGCGGCGGACTCCGGCGGCCACCACTGGGATAATTGGGTCCCCTTTTAACATTTGCTCCCGTTTAGCATTATGGGCGTCATAGCCATAGACTATAAAAGTCTTACCCAAGGCTGAATCATAAACTAAACGGTATATATATATATATGTCAAGTACAGTAACTACAACTAGCTAACGTTGTAGCCAAGCAGAGTGGACAAGTTGCTGTTAGCTGACAGTGAAAACATCAAAGTGACCACGCCCCAATTAATGCAAAAACGTTAAGACCTAATATAAATAAAAGGGCCACGTTATAAAACAATTCACTCACCAATTCATAATCATGAAGGTGGAATCTAACTATATCCCGAATAATTTGTATTGCATCCAGGGGCAGAAACATGTTTATTTCTGCTGTAAAGTTGGGCATTTTAACATGGGGGTCTATGGAAATGTATCTGTTCTGCAGTCATCTATGCAGTCATTATATATATAATAGATGAACTGCAGTTTGTGGCAATTCCTTATTGGCCTCCCGGCTCTGCCCCAGAGTTTGCCGCTTGGTCCAAACCAAGCCCCCAGGAAGTGCGCCAGACTCTGAAGAAAATATTCGTTGTGGCCAAACGACGGTACTACACTTCCGTATCAGTCGCTGGGCCCGGAAATACTTTTTCCCATTGACTAACATTGGGAAAGAGACGTCTGTAAATCGTTTGATAATTTTTTTTAAACTAAATAAACTACCCAGTATGAACATTTGTATAGCCCTTATTAAAAACATTCGGTCCTCAAGTTGTAAAATGTGCTAATAACGTTATTCTGAGAGTTATTTTCCTCGGCATTATGAATGCGGATCCAACCCACGGGACCGCGCCGCCCGGCACGTTCATGTGACGTGTTCAGTACATGAGTTTTACCTTTACCCATGGATGCACAATAAGAACGGATTATATGATTATATGAATACTTTCGTGACGTTTCGCTCTCTCAAAAGTTGGGCCATTTTGTCTTCATGCGCCAATGAGCAACTCTCATAGGAATGAACGAGGCCCCGCCTCCCACGCTGTATCCAGTTCTTATTATACATCCATGGTCCAAACGGCGGTACTACAATTTCCGTATCAGTCCGCGACGTCACCCGGCCAAGAAATACTTTTTCCCATTGACTAACATGGGGAAAGAGACGTCTCTAAATCAGCGGATAATTGTTTTTTAACTAAATAAACTACCCAGTATTAACTATTTTATAGCCCTTATTAGAATCATTAGTTTTGTTTGTTGGTCTATTAATGAACTGACTCGTGCTACGTGCTAAACTCTCAGCCATCTTTATTAATAATCTTGTTCAGGTATTTTACCTTACGTCTGGATTTAACCATAGATCACAACTCTGTAGTGACACCTTGTGGTAGGAGTGTGTATCTATCTAATCATCACATCCCCCTTTCTTTGAGGTAATATAAACAAATAATGCAACATACATTTTAACCAAACATTTAGATTTCATTACCATGCCCTAACAAACAAACAAACATCTGGTCTAAATTTACTCATGATGCAAACTAGCAGAAACTTGGAATTTGTCTAAACATTTAAACCATTTTAGCATCCTGATAGACTGAATCACAGATTCACAGATTCAGTCTATCAGGTTGTCTGTCTGTGGTGAAGCTGTGGACTCAGACTCAATGATGGATTCACTGAGCTGTTGACCAGCCTCTTGTGTTTTCATAAGACTGCGACGATTGCGTCTGAAGATTTGTCCTTCCTCTGTCCTCACAGTGAAGGATCGCGGTGCTACTTCCTGAAGAACAGTTGTTTTTATTCTCCATCCATCAGGACCCTCAATCCTGACTGTGTCATTACTTGATAGTAATGGAAGCTGCTTAGCCGTTTTGTCATAGTATGTTTTCTGCTTCGGCTTTTGTTTTTGTAGCTGGTGTTGCAGCTTTGGGTGTCTCTTTTGCTTTGAATAGCTTGGCAGTGTGGTGCGTAACTTACGATTCATCAGAAGTTCAGCAGGTGACAGTCCACACTCCAGAGGTGAGGCTCTGTAGCTGAGTAAAGCGAGGTATGGATCTGAGCCACTCTCATCAGCTTTTTTGAGAAGTTGCTTGAGAATGTGAACTCCCTTTTCAGCTTTCCCATTTGACTGTGGATAATGAGGACTTGAGGTCACATGCTTGAAGTCGTACTGTTCTGCAAATTCTTGCCACTCTCTGCTGTTGAAACATGGTCCATGCAACAAGGGTAGGAAAGCTGGGAACACTCACCTTAAACTGTGGCAGGAAAACATATTTATGGTAAAAAAGCTTGGCAATAAAGATTTCTTCTATCTTATGCAACACTATGTCACACAAGCGAGAGAAAACACTGTTGTCAGCACAGCATAAGTAACCACATGTAAACTGCATATGTTTACTGATTATAATTATCTAAATTGGGGCTGAGAAAAAAAATTAAAAATAGCATTCACTTTGTAGAGCGTCTACAGAGACATGGCCTGTCTTCAGTCAGTGATCCGGCAGATATTTGATGTTACTGAAGAGCTCTACACTAAGAATAACAAAACATAACTCCAGCTGTTGAGGCAGCTGGCAAATCCGGTCTTTATTGTAGAAAAAAAACATTTTAGTTATGAGCCAATGGGCTGGTTGGTTATAGTGGAGCTTGGAGCAGTTTTTCTATGAACATGGAAAATATTGTGTCATTGCTACCTTTGTTGTCCAAGGTCCTTTTGATTTTCATACTGGTTAATATTTTACATGTAACAATTGTAATCTGGTAACCACTCTTTTCTACTGTTGACGGTTTAATATTTTGCTGGTAACTGATGCTTTCATGTTTAAATGTATACCTTATTTTAATCATAAACTCTAAACATCCAACTGTACATTAGCAATCATTTACCACATTTGTTTAAATGAATAAAAAAAAGAAAATAGGGGACGTTTAATCATTACATTGCATTTAACTGATGCTTTTATGCAAAGCGGTGTTCAAAAACTGCCATAAACCATAAAGATTCAAACTAAGGACAACAAGATCAGTGCTGACAAAGTCACTTGAAATTAGCAAGTTCATTGTCACTGTACGGTACTGCCTTCTCAGTGACCTCTGCAAGATTAAAAAAATACAGTATAGGGGTCAGAAGAAACATTTTACAGTTACATGAGTGCTGGCTGTGACTACGAGTGCTTTGCATTATTGGTGCAAATCTACTTTGAATAACCTTGGGATAAACAAATTGTAAAACTGGAATGTGTTAGGTCAAGATCTAACGTTTCAAACATGCTTCTTCTTCTTTGGTAGAATGAAAAGCTACAAAAAAAGCATGCTGACTGTTCCATGTTACAGTATATTTTACTGCATGATTAATTACTTCTCGGTCATAAAAACTTGTCTCAGACAGAAGATGTCAGCGTGAAGCTGCTTTAATTGGGATGCTTTTGAACTGCTTGCCCAGTGCTGTGCAATGATGCATGGTAAGGGCATACACTGTATATTTCATATGTACTGCAGAGAGAAGCCTATGCAAACATGTTTTTTTTTTATTGAGTAATGAAGCAAACACCTCACACAATTCAGTTTGATTCCATAGGCTGTTATACAGGTTATGCGGCCATGACTTTGAAAATAAAATTAGGAAAAGTGTGTAATGTTATCTAATAAAACTATAGAAGGTCTCATTGGATCCAGCTGAGGAAGCACACACTGAATTTAATGTGCTGCACAAAACCGCCTGTGATAAAATACGCCGTATGTACAATTATGGCCGTGCTCCCGCTGTAGAGCTGCAGCCGC